AGGTTTGTTCATATCAATAAATTCAATTCAATTTAAAAATTGGGGATGACGCTAACCCTGTTGTTATTCATAGTCTTCACTCTTCAAACTAAAGTCATGACCTATATTTGGGGTGTTGCATGGGCGGTTCAATCTTTATATCATGTACCATTATTAAATCTGATTTTCTAAATCTTTTATGTCTTGGTGATTTTGTTGACAATGGTGACACAACGTCTTCAATGTCACGTGATGTCACAATTCAATTACAAAATTTTAGGTGAGTAAAGTGAACTCCACTATATTTATAACAATTTTCCTATATTTATGAGTGGGTAACCATCACATTTAATCATCAACACATAAGATTAGTGGGGTTTATTTTATCTACTTGTTATTTTTTAATTAAATAGTGATATCATGTAATAGTGATTACATGATGTCACCGTTGCATTGAATATTTTCTCGAGTAAGTGGTCCATGTGGATTTGAATACCAATGAAAACAAATTTAACCGTTTGTATTGTATCCAATGCACAACAATCATACCTGTTTTGCAATCTAAGAATAGTAAGTGGCAAGCAACTTTTGTATTGGAAAGACTAATTTCTTACTCAATCTCGTGAGGTAACATTTTAATGTATAAATCACTTACTAAAGAAGTTCGATCTTACAGAAAAAAAAATTAAAAAAAAAAACTATGCTCAAAGGAGGGGTTCCGCCATGGGAGATTACCACCTTCATTGAAGATATTAGATTCTAAGTCAAATTGTTAAAACTTTAGTTTTTTCTCAAAAACCTAGACCCTCGAATAGGGCAACTCATTGGATTGTAGTTACTTCCAATTCTTTTTTACTGTCCTCCTACCGCATTACAAGCTATAATAAGATCTGATTGTAATGTTTCTCAAAGTAATTGAATGAAATTTGCATCTAGTGCAGGTGGTAAAAAAAAAACCTCCCACAGTCCCATGGGTGGTCCACTTGGATGTTAATCACATGATAGTGGATGGAAGCTGCCTGGATTCATAGTTTTCCTTTTGACTCGATACATAAAGAACAGTAATATTCTTTGTGCTCCCTATTCCTCTACGTCAGTTATTGTAGTTAAAATTGTCAGCGTTCTTCATTCTAAGTACGTATATTACTTGACACATTATTAGATTAGATATTTAAATCCAAAAAATAATATTCTTAAAAGGAAAATACTAAATAAACTTAAAAATCTTTCCAAAAATACTAATTTAATGATTATATGCTAGTTGATAATTGTAAAATAACATTAATATTATTTAGACCTATTTTGTTGAATAATTTTGTTGACTTAATCCAACACAATTATTTCAATTGTACTAAGTCTCACCTAATATTTGGATTTACTATCAATTTAATATGTCATTGATTAAGTTAATAAATTAAATTTAAGTAACATTATATTATTATTTTTTTGGGTAAATAATAACATTATATTATTGATAAGGGAGCTGACACCATTCAATAGCATTATTCTACTTGCAATTATTAGCATTTTTTCTAAGGACTATATTACTCGACACATTATTATATTGATTAATTAGATCAAAATTTTAAATTATATAAAAGTATTATTTATAATTATAATTATTAGAATTTTTTAAGAGAATTATATCACTTGACACATTGTTAAATTTAACTTACTGATCAAATTTTTAGGCTAATATTATTTATCAAATGAAATAAGTTTTACATAAAATTGATGGTTCCAACGTCGGACAGCCTCTGGCGGTGTCCATATATAAACGAGCAATGCTAAATACACTTAAAAATTAGATTTGATAATTTCAATCATTGATTTCACTGTGGGTCTCAGCATTTATTGAGACTCACTATCTATTCAATGGTTGAGAGTATCAAATTTAATTTTTAAATTTAATTTTTAAATTCATCTAGTATTACTCTATATAAACTTGGCAGACATTATTATAAACAGATTTGAGGCATGTTGTCGGTTAGAAGATGTGCTCAGAAATTATTTGAAGGCGTATTCAGTTGAAAAGAATTCAAACAAAGACTGCCCCATTCTCACTAAATATCCCATGCAACACTAATATCATGTTTTTTTTTTTTGCTGGTTGAAGAAGAGAGATACAGGATAGAGATTGAACTAATAAAATTCGAGGTACTATAACGCTTTCATTCTACTCCTTGTGAAGGCCTGGGTTGTACAGTCTTTGCAACAGTAATATCATGTTATTACTACTATCACGACCGCGTAGTATCACCTTTTAATTACAAAATTATAAATGGATAAAGTCAACTTCTCTATTTTTATAAATACTAATAACCACCTCATTCAATCATCAAATTATAGAATTAATAAGATTTATTTTATCTATTTTGTCATTTTTTAATTGAATGGTGATATTATGTGATGATAATGATATGATGTCACCGTTGTATTGAATATTTTCTCCATTCTTAGGGCTTTTAAAAAGTTATTATATTTAATCGGGTCTAATTACGATACTGAAATAATGATATTTTTCGATACCGTATTTGAAGACCCAATATGATTTATGGCATAAAAGAAAACTAAAAAGAGGCTTTTATTTTTAATATTGATATTTTTTAATTAAGTTTATTCTTCTTCTTATTTTTTTTGAGTAAAATACTAATTAAATTTTCATGTTTAAGTTTTAGATTATATCTTTTTAAATTGATAATATCATTAATTCACTTAATATTTTTTGTGATAGTTGATGTTAACTAAGATTTTATTAATGTTAATATTAAAATACTTTTTCTTGGCAGAAGCAATTGTCGGTGGAGTTGACAATAATTTTTGCATATTTGAAATAAAAAATCTAGCCTTTTATATCAATTGAATTGTTTTCTTTTGTTTGTAAAATTTTCTTTAAAAAGATAAAATTTCAAAAATAAATCAAAACCAATCACTATAAAAAACTGTCACGTTTTTCATAACATTCAAGAATAAGACAAACACAAACCATAAAAGGAAGGATTTGTGTTATTGGAGAGAGAGAGAGAGAGAGAGATATGTTTTAAGTTTTGCGTTTTGACAAGAAAGAGAGAATGAGTGGTGCATATTTGGTTGAGATTTTGCTCTCTTTTTTTTGGGGCGGGGGGACCTAAAATTTGTAGGGTCGTCCTTGAAAATGGAGTTTAAAATCCGAATTTTGTTGTCCTTACATATCTCCCATTTTCAAATAATCACAGCATGACTAATGTAAAGTGTTGATATAACCAGTACATTGAATATTTACTCGTAAAAGATAGAAATGTAATTGATGATTATTTTCGTATATGTTACCAACATTTTGGTTTTGTCCTTGGAAATTAATCATTGGTTCTGTTTCATTGTATATATAAAAATAGATTTTATATGGGCCAACTTAAAATCTCTTCCATGGGATTCTAAATAATTTCGAATTTCTTCCTACCACACAAGGCAGATAATTTGATAATGTGAATTGAACCATAGTTTTCGTATGGTTCAAATCACATGGAATGTCCGAACAAAAAAAGGTTTACTTGCATGTCTATTTTGTTTAATTTCCCATTCATGTGTAAACGTTTTTTTTGAAGTATGTGGTGGTGGTGTAACCATATTAAACGACAAATTTTATGCCAAACTTCCTAGCTAAGACCATTTTCAACGGGGCGGCTTAAGTCAATTTGAGATCTAAAACGGAAATATTAAATAAATATTTTTTTATTTTTAGTATTATTTTTTTAAAAAAAATTAATTTAGTTTTAATTTTTTATGTGAGAGGGAGACAAAAAAATGATGTTTTAATATTGTCGAGAAAGAAATTTCAACTTTTGTTTTTATTTTTTATCACAGAGAGGGAGAGAGAGAGAATGTTTAATTTCAATTTTTTTACCACAGAGAGGAAGGGAAAATGTTTAATTTTAATTTTTGTTTTTATTTTTTATTACCATAGAGAGAGAGAGAGAGAGTGGAAGTAAATATGAGTTGATTTTTGAGTATTTTTTTAATTTTTTTAATTTTTAAGTTTTTAATGTTATGGATTGGATTTAATTTTTTTGGGACTTTTTTGTAAGGCTTAAAATTTAATATTTGGAGGAAAAGGAATGGGGACTTAAACCCTTGACTTCAAGAAAACAAAATTTTTATAAGATAATAAATACAATTTAACCAAAGGTCTATTAATCTATAATGGAAACATATACCCTTACCTAAATTTGAGTGAAAAAATATGAAAAAAACTTAGTTTAGTATAGACATTTTCTATTGAGAAACTCAAATTTAAAGGAAGAGAAATTCAAATTTAAATGAGGGTAAACTCAAATTTAAAAAGAGGACAAAATATGACAAATTGATCATTAAAGAATGGTAAAATTCCACCATTAAAAATTTGGGTATGAATTTAAATTTTTCTTGATTTGAGTTTAAAAAAAATTCTCCTTTAATTTGATATAGATATGTGGAGAAGGTTTTAAAAAAATTTTTGTTCAAATTTAAATTTCAACTTAAAAGAGAGTAAGGATTGGAGTCGCTCTATCGTATAAGAGTTTGAGATAAAATTTTGAATAGGTTTGTGGGTGACAATATTACGTGGTGTACATACTTAATGAGAATTTATCATAAAATTAAGTTGTGGGACGCACAAGTTAACTTTTGAGTTTCATTATTATTTCAAGTCAAGGGTTAACTTTTTTTTTGGGAAGTTAAAGTTTTTACAAGACAACAAATATCTTTGGACAGTTGAGTTTCATTATTTCATTTGGAATATGCATTTACTGCAATTATCCAGGGAACAGGAACAATGGGCTCAGTGTGATGATTGTTCGAAATGGCGAAGTGCCTGTTGATGTTCTTCTCCCTCCAATGTGGACATGTTCTGCTAACATTTGGGAACTCAAATAGGTATTTAGCATTTTATTTACTTACTTTTGGCCGAGATGATAAGATTGTCAATTAATCTCCATTTTCTATATCGATGAGCTGTAAAATGTGGCATAGGAAGGTTTATATCCATTTGGTATAATGAGATTATCATGTCAGAAAAGAAAAGAACAATACGGGAATATTCCTTACGCTCTTTTCTTGTGATGTCCAGATGCGCATGTTCTGCTCCTGATGAGATAAGTCCAACAGAAGTAGAAAGTTTTTTCAGAGCTGGGAAGGGTATGAATCAAGTTTCTTCTTTTTTTCCGCCCACATTAAGATGAACACGTCTCTCTCTTTTTCCCGGGAAAAAAATATACTGTTTAAAACATGATTTTTGAGGGTGGCAACAAGAAGTCCAATGCTGGCTGGCGAGTCCCTGAGTGCGTCTATTAACGGATCTGAAAGCATGCTGGCTGCATTATTGATGCTGCTTAATGCAAACCTACAATGTTAAATAGGATCAAGGACATCAGTTTTGTGAATAGGTGATAATTTGATTCCAGTTCTACACTACAGGACATCTGGTAAAATAGTTGGATTTGTAAGAATAAAATTAAGTTTTAAAACTTCAATTGAATATTCATTGAAATTATTTTGAATTTTTCAGTTGCAGACTTTTTATCCTGTTTATTGTGAATATTCAAGAATAATATTTACTACCTTAAATTTGATTTATTGTGAATATTCAACAATAGCATTAAGTACCTTAAATTTGATTTTATGGCTATCGAAGCCAAATGGTTAAAAATTTGAAGAGTCACTTTCAAACCCAACGATTATTTAAGCCATCCTAAGCAACTATTCTAAAGACAATTCTCAGTCAAGTGTTTATACAAGCAATATAAATATATACAATCATCTTCTTTTATTTGTTATTTGAGCAACTCGATTCGAGTCAGGTTCACCTCCTCTTTACAATGGGCGTGATCATTGAGAAGGTGCTACTGCGAGCGTCTGGATTTGATATTGGAGTTGTTGGTGTCCTTCAAAACCCTTACGCGGGGAGGCTCAGATGCTTTAGAACAGTATTCACACGACTTTCGAATTTGCAAACCAGCTATTTCTAATTTATAGTATTTATTTTATTTTATTCTAAATTGATTGTTATTTTATATTTATTTGCATATGCTTGTTAGGTTGTGATCTGGATATTATTTTGTAAAGTAAAATTATATATAATTATGCTAATTTGCCCAACAATCTAAAGCAGTTGAGACTTAAATTGAATTTTACTATTTGAATCACAAGAACTTCACTTGAAAATAATCCATTCACTTTAGACACGGATCCAAAAATTATCAACAAACTGCAGCAAAGCACAATAATGCTTCTTTATTCCTCTACTGTTCTTTTGCTTGGGGCTCATAGAATAGTTTGTTCAATGTGACGGGTGACGTCTTGGGTTTGCCCTTCTACAATCAAGAAAATTGTTGCAAATAAAGTTTTGGGGTCTTGGAAAGAATAAAGAGTAAAGAAGCAAAGACCTTTAAAATTGTGTATTGATGGCAATTATTTGATGTATTCAAAGCGGAATGCAAAAATTATTTCTTGCTTCCTTGTGAACCAAAGTCACTAGGAATTTTTAGAGAAATGTCTTTGTCTAATTTTTAGTGGAATTGGAAGCCGGTGGTCTTTTAGTGCTCTCGTCTTTTTACTCCCTTTTAGCTTTTTCTGGAAACAAAACAGTAACAGTTTTCTGGAAAAATAAAACTTGTGACCTGTTACTGTTTTTTGGGAAAAAAAAATAGTTTCTGTTTTTTGCGAAAAAAAAAATCCAGCAGCTACTTGTTTTTTAAAAAAATATAGCTACTTGCTTTGAAAAATAAATAAATAAATAAAGTTTCAAGAGTTATTACAATAATTTAAACACCTTTCTTAATTTCATTACAAATAGAATTTTGACAGTTGACATTTAAATTCAATACATTTAAACTTCGTTACATGAACATATACATGTGATATCTAATTAGTCTAATATCACATTAGTTAAATGGACCTTGTGTAGAGTTTTTTTTGTATCATAAAGCTCTAGACAAGAGAAGATAGTATTTACTAGAAGAAAAAAACAAGAAAGAGAAAAAAAAAGTTTTAAAAATATACATAGAACAAAAAATATAAAGCTTGATTCGTACAACTCATAACCACAACCACATGAACCTAGAAGGAAGTTATCCAAATAAGGAACCTTCTAGTTGTACTGTTACAACTCATGGTATTCTGTAACATCCTAACGTATCATGTTTCTATCTCACATGAACTCCATGAACATGTCTTTAAAAGTTGGATCCACTTAAGTTGATCAAGCTATAGTTTTAGAATTTGTTCTTTTATATTGATCATATAATTTAGTCCAGATAAATATTAAAAAAAAAAAAGACTGAAGTAGTGAACTTAGGTTACTTCAACTTCTTATTTGGATTAATTAATATATATTAGCATTCCATTCTTTGTAACAATTACACTTGTTTAATATATCTCTACCGTTATTACAAAGCAACGATATGGCAAATCCAATGGTAAATGCTAAGCAAAGAAAAGGAAGTGAGCTAGAAAAGTTGAGTGGTACTTGAGTAGTGTCAACTTGATCTCAAGTTGGATATAAAATTACTTGCTCTTGCAAGTCATTATGTGTGAACCCATCTAGTTTACTGTCATTGGTAGTGTCAAAAACAAGCAGTGTGATAAAAATCAGCCTATTAATTTTCTCATAGGATAAAATATTGCACTTCTTGCCATGGGCTTTTATACAGCACTGTTAACTTGACAATAGAAATTACTTAAGTGAATGACATTTGATGAATTGTAACATGATTTTATTTGATCGGGTGTGAGGTCCTACTCTTTGTGTTATTTATAAGTCTTCAAATTTGTCTAATGCTTGGTTCCATATAAAACTTTGTTAAAGAATATCAAAATAAACAAGAAAATTAGTTATGTGATATTTATGGTCAATGGACAATTACTAACTGTGCGTTTTTAATATTTTATAGTGCTACAATTTATTTTATGGATTATTTGAAACTATAACTGATAAGTTACAATTATTGTCTAACAGTTGTCATTAAATTTGGAATTTTTGACTCATTTAATTACTAATATACGTTTAAAACCAGTGGACTCAAATAGTTCAAAAACATGGTCAAGTTTTTGTTCAAAAAAGTTTCTGCAGTACTTCAGTACTTTAATGATGCTTAGACCACAAGAGTAAAAATATATTGAGTTAAATCTGTATTGCTAAATTAGACTAATTACTTTTGAAACCCATACAGTGTACCATCATGATTGTTTTACATCACTTCTGGGAAAGTAATTATTTTTGTTAATTCTATTTGAATTAATAGAAATATTTGATTTTGAAATGTGTTATTTTAAATGATGATTTACCATGGGAAGAAATTATTGATGTGCAGTTAAATGCAATTTTAGACTTCGATAATAAAACATTAATTTAAAATGTTGAAAGCCAAATAATATCTAGTATGGTGAATAATATTTGAATTTCTGAATGCCACAAATATTGATTCTAGGATTTCTTTGAAACATGTAAACCTTATCACCCAATTGAACTACTAGATTAAAAAAAAAAGGCTTATCAAAAAACTGGTGTGACTTAAAAGTTTAGCAATAGAAATTTAGAGTTATTGGGTGCTTGGTAAGAAGTACTGTAGCACCACATTAGCTTAGTGCACTGACGTGATTTTAGAAACCCAATAAGGAGTGTTATTTATGAATTAAATTTGTTTGACCAAGCTCCGACATCTGACATATTTTGGTGATTAGAAATTTAACATGCATTTATTCTCTAGTTAGTGAGACTATGTAAAATTTTACAAAGTTGAGAGATAGAATATATTATTGTTGGGTCATGACATGCTATAAGCTACTTCTACTAGCTTTACTGCTTGATACTGGTATGTTGATGTTATGATTATAACACACGAACTATATGAGTTGGCAATAGTGTGATGTGATGCAAATGCTATTTTATGAACCACATGAATAAATTATTTAGCTCAAATTTTAAATAAAGAGCTAAAGCATTAGTAACTCTCATGAAAAAAAAATTGAAATGTGGGGGTATAATTAAAAAGATATCTCTTGGATTCGCAATTTGAATTTTCTTAATGAGATGGTTTTATTATATGTCCGTTTGTATCGAGGATTGCAATGATCTGTTGAGATCTTTATTGACTATGCTGGCGCTTAAAATATTCTTAGACAAATACTTTTTAATGTAGTGTTTATCTTTGATATTTGAAAGACAGGTCAAGACAAATATCAAATAGAGGAATTAATAAGGCGTGCACATCTGAGCGAAACTTTCATCTATGAAGAATGATCATTTTATATTGAAATTATAAATCTCAACCAAACAAAGCTGACAAATAATTATACAGCTTTCGAGGAAAGTCATGAGACATGAATATATGAAAGATAATTAATTTCATCAATGAGCTTTCGAGGAAAGTTAAGCTTTTGAAAAAAGTTGTGTTTCAAGAATTGTCGAGGGGGATGAGCCTAAGTCCGCAAGAGAGTCACGTACGGAGGTAATCCAACTTCTGTGATTAGGGACCTCATGAAAGAAGTTCAATGAGTAGAAACAATCCATACTGCGTGACTCATTAACACCGTTGTTGAGAAAATATCCTAAGAGGAGATATTTTTATGCTCATCCTTATGGCAGAAGTGCATATGTAGTGTGACGGTAAGAAAAGATTTTATCCTGAATGAGACCGAGGTAGGAACCCTCCAGCAAGATATTGTGCACATGTACTTTTGGAGAGCTCTCTTAAGTGAGAGTAGTTGTGAGATCGTCATTATGAGAATTGGGATATTCTCTAGAAACTCTCATGAGAATCAATATCAAGTGCATGACCATTAATAGCACTGACCCGCGAATCCTAACCAATATTGATACTGTGTTTGTGATAGTTGAACTCTGACTCAAAGGGTCTAGTTCAAGTCTTTGGTCACTATAATCCTTCAAGGGGAGACTGTCAACATTAAATGAGATTCAAGCCCAAAAGATACCTACACCTATTGCACCGTATAATAGTTGCTCATAATTTCTTTATTAAAGTATAAGTAAAATATTTGAATATTTTGAAGTTTTAAAACTTGTGGGGGATTGTAAGAATAAAATTGAGTTTTAAAACTTCAATTGAATTTTCATTGAAATTATTTTGAATTTTTCAATTACAGATTTTTTTATCCTACTTATTGTGAATATTCAAGAATAATATTTAATACCTTAAATTTGATTTTATGGCTATTCAAGCCAAATGGTTAAAAATTTGAAGAGTCACTTTTAAACCCAATGGCTATTTAAGCCATCCTAAGCAACTATTCTAAAGACAATTCTCAGCCAAGTGTTTATACAATTCTTTTATTTGTTATTCGAGTCAGGTTCATCTCTTCCTTTCAGTGGGCGTGACCATTGAAAAATGTTACTACGAGTGTTTGGGTTTAATCTTGGAGTTGCTGGTGTCTGTCAATACCCTCACACAGAAAGACTAAGCTATTTTAAGACAGTGTTCATACGACTTTCGGACTCGCAGGTCAACTCTTTCTAATTTATCGTATTTATTTTATTTTATTCTAAATTGATTATTATTTTATATTTATTTGCATATTCTTGTTAAGTTGTGATCTAGATATTATTTTGTTATGTAAAATTTTGTATAATTATGCTAATTTGCTCAACAGGATTTGCACAGTTATTTTCTTCCATATTTTCAGGGGAAATGAAGTGTCTGCATCCTGTTGTTGTTCATTGACAATTCACTGACATTTAATTTTTCTTTTGTCAAATACATGTTGCACAAGCAAAAATTTGGAAAGAATTCCCTAATTTTCTGTTGAAGAAGAATTATTTTCTTCTTTGTTCCTTGATGTGTTACATAAATGTTGTGTCTCACATATACTATATCCACACCCAATTTCATCCCATGAACATAGTCCATGTGTCGTTTTAAACATATTCTTTGGGCATTTGTTTATGCATGTTTTAGAAAATTTGTGAGACGATGTATGATCCAGTTCCAAGGCGCGTTGACGTCAAAATCGCCTCAATTTTCAAAATGCCATAGCTGCGTGTCAGACCAGTAGACCAGATATCAAAGTTGTTTCATCAGCACAAAAGTTGCTCATCTCTCGATTACACTGACCCACCGATTTCTTTGTTCCATGAAGCTTTTCATTTTTCTTGTCCAATTTTCTTCCCCATGAGATTCAAAAAACTTGGTTGTAGTTCTCTAACTTCTCTATTTTTCCCCAGATGCTAAGAAGCGAAGAACCACAGGAAATAAGGTAGCCCAAGAATACGAACCTTCTGGCTTAGACGCATTGGCCACTGCAGCAGTTCTTGGAGACAATGTTGGTGACCCAGGTAACCATGCAGTTGGAGCCACTACCAAACATCCCCGGCATCGTCCTGGCTGCACTTGCGTTGTGTGCATTCAGCCCCCAAGCGGAAAGCAGGCACGTGCAACGTGTGCAAGACTGTGTAGGGCCGCTTTAAAACCCTCATGCTGCGCAAGAAGAAACGCCCATCGGAACGCGAAGCAGAAGTCGCCCAGGGAAAGGACCAGCATCACCCTAAGGACGAATCAGAAACGGACGTTGCATCTGGACTTGCATTGCTGCATATGAATCATTCCGAAAATGAAAGAAGCCCAAGTGGAGTCCAAATGCAGGTTGCTGAAACCAGCAAGGGACAACTAGACTTGAATTCCCATCCCAACCGCGACGAAGACATGTTAGCAGAACCAACTGGACTTAGCATGACAAGCCTTGTTCATTCCCCGAGCCATCAGTTGGAGATGTATTTGAAGCCGAATGGGTTTGGAAATTTTGTCTCCCGTTTAGTCTCAACAGCTGGTGGTGAGAGTGAATGCCGCCCACCTGATGATGGCCGGCAAGCAGCTTTTGCCAGCGAGCAGCAAGACAAGGGTGATGAAAGGTGATGATCAGAGACCAACTAAACGGTTAGAGTTTTGTCTTTCTTTCGTTTGATTACATGTGTATTCCTATTTTAGTACGGTAAATTTTGAGATCAAATTTAGAGGTTAGATCACATGGTAATTAAATTGGGTTTTTTTATTTGGTGTCATGTCACGTGGGTCCTAATAAAAACTCTTATATCATTGATGTTACAAATTTTGGTCATTAGACTGAAATTTGCATCTTCACAGTTGGGGACTGCACTCTGTTTCTGTCTGTAAAGTTTCGGCCACTATCCCTACTAGATTTCCACAACTTCGGGTATACTATATACATTTCCCGAAATTTCTTTGCCACTCTCGAATCTCGATTAGTGTTTTTCTCTTAACTTACGTGGTAACATAAACGATTGTTTTATATATTTGATCCAACAATGTTTATATGTTTACATTATATTGGCTTTTTGTATAGTTATATACATGATATACCACTGATATTATTCAATTAGAGACATAATTGATCTAATTCATTGTAAAATTTGGATTGATTGTAGATAACCAATGGAAGGGGATTTTGACCAATATTGAATGCTAGAATCGCTAGTTAAGGTCGGCAAACAGATGATGATGACCAGTGGTGAAAATTAAATTATTAATTTGATAGATTATAGGTTTTGGGGTGTTTAACTACTTCGTACTAATTTTTTTTTTTTGTAAATTCATTAGCAATTACTTGAAATTGAATAAGTAGTTGATTAAGTAAGTGATGACTTGAGTGGATAATTTTTTTTTTTGGCCAACTTGAGTGGATAATGACATTGATAAATTGTAGATGAAGTATTCCAAAAAAAAGGGGTTTGTTGGTGTTTGACTAATTTTGACCATTTTTTTTGTAAATGTATTAGTAATTAATTGAAATTGAATAATTAGTTGATTAAATAATTACTGACTCTAGTGGTTAATGACATTGGTAATTTATAGATTATTTGGAATTAAATTTTAATTAGTAACTTATTGAATTTGGTGATTTGTAGATTATTAGAAATCAAATGATAAAATTTTAAGAATTTCAAAATCATAATTCGTGTAAATCTAACTAATTATTTAAAAATAGTAAGGTGAGAAGGTTTTCTTGCTTTATCACATTTAGTTAGTGGATTAATATAATCTTGCACTTGGTAAAAGCGTATTTTGGATATTTTATTAAATTTTGTTGATGATGTCATCTTTTTTATGTACTTGTTTTGATGTCTATCATACGGTAGGGGTGCGGCTGTCACACGTGTTTGAATGTCAAGGGTCTCAATATAATTTTAAAAATATGATAGGGGTGTCCATGTAATAAAATCAAATATCATAGTGTAATTTATCCTAAACAATTTTGAGGTACAGCTGGACTATGTGGCAGTACGTGGCCAGGCAGTTTTATTAGCGCAAACTTGGGCCAGGCTGACCTGGACCTTCTGGCCCATAGACAGCCTTAGCCTGATTGTTAAATATAGATATAAGGGTTTTTTTTAGATTTATGTGAAAAAAAGTCTATAGATAAACTGTTTACTCTATTAAATTTAATTTTAATAAAATATATTGTGTTTAGATACAACATTTAAATGAAATTAAAACTATTTTACCTAAATGTCCTCCCTTAAATTATGCATTTTTAATTGACAATTATATATCTAATAAAAAATGTAAAGATTTCATTAGACTCTCTCACTATCTCTTTCCTATTTTTTCTCTATCTCTCTCTCTTTCCCCATTTCTTTCTCCATCTCTCCCCTATTTTTTTCTCTATATTTATCATTGATAATTTATTTTCTTTTCAAATATATAAAGATTTAAGTTATTTTTTCATCCCTCTCCCCATTTTCTTTCTCTCTCTCTCTCCCTCCCTTATTTTCTCTAACTATTTCTCTTTATCCCTATATTCTTTCTATGTCTCTCTATTTATATCAATATTACAACAACACAATTACGCTAATCAATTTCACCAATCAGTTATAATTGTCGTATCGTACACCAATAATTATTCATGTGTTCTAATAAACCAAATAGTTACACCAACAATTACACAAATTTATAATATCAACTCAATTTTTCATTGAGTTGTTTACAAAAACTAAGTAGTTGCACTATTTAGTATCGTGACATCGTTACACCAATTATATATATCAAATTTAGTATAATGGTAAAGTCTTTTGCGTAATGATAAACACAATTTAGTCTATATAATTGGTGTAACCATATCATGATCATACTAAATTGTGTAACTCTTTGATTTATGTAAATAACTAAATGATAAATTGACTTGGTTTTGTAATTTTGTATAATTGTTTAATATAACTATTTAGTATATTAGAACACATGAGTAAATGTTTAGTGTAATATAGGGTAATTGTAACTAATTGATATGATTGATTAGTGTAATTACGTTTTTGTAACATTGATATAAGAAGAGAGAGAATAAGGAAATAAGGGTAGAGGGAGTGAGAGATGAAAAAATAGGGGGAGAGAGAGATGAAAAAAAATTAAATCAAATATTTACATATTTAAAAAAAATTATCAATATGAGAGAGAGAGAGAAATAGGAAAGAGAGAAGGAAAGAGTCATGGTGTAACACCCTGCATTTTCTTTTATATATGTATATAGATATATAGTAAATAATTGTTGTAAAAATGGGGATATGTGTAGTGATGTGTGTTTGAATTTGGTAGAATGAAAAAGGGATGAACAGTGCACTGGCTGTAACATCAAGCTCGATTTCGACCTTGATGCAGTCCATATCTCTCAAAACTTAAAACATGAAATTTGTAGAGCTCTCTCTTAGGATTCCATATCACCTTGAATCATCTCAATCGGAACTAGGAGGAAGGAGTTATGTCCATATTACGAAGTAGTGTCTACACTGTCCAAAAATCTGTCCGGCAGACTACCTTTCGCTAATTTCATCATAACTCTTTATTGGAAAGTCCGAATTGTGTACCGTTATTTTTGTTAGAACCCTAACTCGTATATCTTTCCAACCATATAGGTTACACCTCCTAAAAATACCTGAGTCAAATCAGTTTATTCTATGAAGTTGGCCAAAAATCTGCACAATGGTGCTCCTTGGATAGTAAAGGGTTGTGCTTTCTTATTAGACCTTGAAGGTGTAAAACCCCATATGTTTACATTAATATATTAATGTACTTGTTTAGTGATTCTTCTATATGTAATGACTTAAGAATAAACCATATATATATTAAAATCGTAAGGATATCACCTATAGTAGTTCGAAGGAATAAAATAGAAATTTTAATGTTCCAAGTGTGAATTTATTTTAGTTTTGAAATAAATCATAAAAAAACAATGTTTTTAGGTTAAAATAACATTAAAAATGAATCCGGAACGTCGAAAAACCTTAGGGTAGTCGTATGGATCAAATTGGAGATTTCTAGTGGCAAAACTGTAATTTTGGAAAAAAACTCAAAATTTAGCCATGAACAGTGAATTGCGCGGACTGCTGTGTTTAAAACACAGAATCCAGCCCATTTCCTTCCATTTTTTCTCACATCTCTCACCCCCAAACCCCTTAGCACCCTTGGGGAAGATAGAGGAAAGGAGGAAAGGGAGAAAGGAGGTCATTAGAGCTTGGGTTTTTGATTTGAAACTTTGATTCAAGGTAGGGGTTTTTCTTCCATGCTTGTCCATTGAGGCTAAGGCTAAAATATATATATGTTTTGACTCATACTTGTATGTATTTACTAGGAATTCCTTGTTTCTTGGTTTTCTTGCAATTATGGCATGTCTTAAACAAAGTTAGGCTCACCCATGAAACTTCTTTTATAGCTTTAAAACCCTAGTTTTTGGGGAAATATGGAATTCTCTTTCTACATTTGCTCAAGCTTGGTTTTGAGAACTTTAGTGCTTTGTGTGAGTAATGAAAATGATGTGGTGGTGATCTCTTGTATTTTTCTTAATTGGTTATTTGGATTGTCGCATGATAAAATTTGGGGATTTTGATAATGGTTGCTTGTTGAGGAAAATTTGTGAATTTTATCTTGTATGTGATTGTTGGTATGAAAAGAGGATAATTATGAACCGAGGTTACTCGTAAGTATGCGGTTAAGTGTGGAATACTTGAAGGGGGGTAGAGGTTACTTGTAAGTATGCTACCTACCAAAAGAGAATATTTATGAACCGAGGTTACTTGTAAGTATGCGGTTATGTGTGGGAGACTTCAAGGGGGGTAGAGGTTACTTGTAAGTATGCTACCTACCAAAAGAGGATATTTATGAACCGAGGTTACTTGTAAGTATGCGGTTATGTGTGGGAGACTTCAAGGGGGGTAGAGGTTACTTGTAAGTATGCTACCTACATAAAAGGACATCTAACGACCGTGGTTACGTGTAAGTATGCGGTTATGGGAAACAAAGACTTGAAGGGGGTGGAGTTTACTTTTAAGTATGCCACCTGCTAAAGGAAATATAATAATCGATGGTGGAATAAGCGTTCCTTTTTGTATTATGGTGTTACTATTGCATTTCCCACAAGAGCTTGTGGAGGTATGTGACTCTACAAGAACTCGTTGGAAATGGTTATGGTTGCTCATTGTGACTTGGGTTTACTGTTCATTTAAATTATTGCGAATGTTTAAACTTGAGATCTGTTTCAAATGTCACGGTTTTACTTCAAATGTTATATGATATTTTGGAAAATAAGACCGAACTGTTTTACTTGTTTTCTAAACCTTGTATGAGAATGGAAGGAATGTTGCTACAGAGCTTAGTGCTCATCCCCTACAAATAATATCTTTTCAGATTTCGTCTATGAGGAGGAGTTACAAGTAGATGAATCAGTGCATGGGGAAGTTCCCCTAGAGGGGAACGGGGGTCCTGAACTGGATGCCTAGAGTTATATTTCTTTTGTACTAGACTAGAGAGTTTATTTTTGAAATCATGTAAAGTCTAGTATTTTGTTATTTCACTGCAAGTGTAATTTAATTCTTTTGGGAATATATTTGTCATACTTGGCCTATTCTTTTGGGATGGCATTGTGGATATGACATATGATGAATGAAAATTTATTTTATGATGGATAAATAGACCCGGTGTGGTCAATAGTTATGCATATATGGACCCGGTGTGGTCAATTGTAATATAATTGTACAGGTTGTGTTTTGGGTAAAGCTCCCCGTACAAAGGAGACTCTGCCCAAATTTTGTTAAAATATGAATGGTTGATGAATGAACTTTCGTCGTGATGAATTTACGTAATGCTCTCATGGGGTGAATGGTTTTTAGAATGTAATGTCACCCAAGGGGGTTTTTGGGGCGTTACAAATGGAGAGAGAGAGTAATTGAGTAATAAACATCATTTTAGTCTTTTATCAAAAAAATGCACTTAGAGCCAAATAAATTTCTTTAATATAGTTTACTTCAAATATGTCTAAATTTTTGTACCGTCTTCCAAATTACCCATATAGATAACTTACCACGAGCACGACCCCTATTTGTTGTTTGGTGATATGATAGATAGCCGTTGTTGGCTCCTTGGCTAAGCCTAGCACGACATAAATGAAATCTTGATAATTGAGGTTAATGGTTGGCCTAATATTCATGATCTTAGATCTTAAGATCATAAGTTTGAATCTTCTCCTCCCCACAATGATGTCTAACAAAAAAAAAATAGTCTTGATAATTTGGTGTTAGCCCAGCTAGATCAAGATGTTCATCAAGTAGTTGGGTGGCTGTGAATGTTATAGTCTTGATAATTTGGTGTCAGCCTAGCTAGATCAAGATGTTCATCAAGTAGTTGGGTGGCTGTGAATGAAGTATTTAGAGCATCTCCAAAAGTGCTTTTTATTTAATCATTATGGGTGGTCCAATAGTTAGTTCTGTCATTTGATAACTTAGATGGGTCAGTTACAGTGGTCAGTCGTCGAGTTTAAAGAAGTAGTCGGTGCAAGTTTAGACAACTTGTAACAAGTCATCCATATTAAGACTAGAATAAATGAAATATATAAATAAAATTAAAAAAAGAGTTACGTGTAATTACTTAAAAAGAGATAAAAGGTATCATAGACATTTTAAAAGTGGACTCCAAACGCCTTGTTTCTCTTTGATTATCATTAGTTGCCTGCATTGGAAAAATGAGCAAACCATTCTTCCTCGTGTTACTGCAATGGATCATAGTCGTTAAATTAACAGTGAGTTCTAACTAATAGTAAAGTCACTAAATAATATCACTAAAAAAACTCATATTTATAACATGCATAGATCAAACTATCTTACTAAAAATAAATTTTACTTAATTATTTTTATAACCAACGAGTACAAATACATCGGATTGAAAGTTATAACTGCAAATCAGATTCGGTATGGTACTGAAATAATTTTTAGTGTATATCATAGCTTTTTTCATTTACGCAGATAACTCTACTTACTATTACATACTTATTTGTATATAAGAAGATTCAAGCTGCAATATACAAATTTTCACCCAAGCGTGGCTGTGCTAGAGCTAGCAGTGGGTGAGCTAGAGAGTGATCAGTCTGTGCCTCTCTGAGGTCAACACTAGACACACAGGGTGGAAACTTCCAAGTGAACCCTTGAAGAAGCCTAGCCAAAAGAATGGCAGTCATGGTAGAACCCAATGTCACCCCCGCACACCCACGCCTTCCTGTGCTAAACGAAAACATCTTCAGCTCCGGGTCAGAAAGCCCCACCTCCGAGCCAGCGTCCTTCAGGTGGCGCTCCGGCTTGAACTTGAGTGGCTCCTCCCAAACTCTCGGGTTTCGGCCGAGTCCCGGTCGGCTCAGCAACACGTGACTACCCTTAGGGATGAAGTAACCGGCGACGGTGGTGTCTGCGAGGGACACGTGTGGAACATTGAAGGGTGCAAGGGGGTGAAGCCGAAAGGCTTCTCTGGCGCATGCTTTCACGTAATTGAGGTGTGGCAAATCGGACTCTTGGACTAATCTCTCTTTTCCAACCACTCTGTCTAGTTCTTCTATGGCTTTTTCAATGGTCTGGGGCTGATTTATCATCTCTGCAAGTGCCCATTCGACGCCATTTGATGGATTGTCCACTGTTGCTATCATTAGTTCCTGTGAAGTACACCAATTAATTAACGCTATTTTGTGAAACCATTATTCTTTAACGATATTGCACCAGTGCAAAAGCAGCACGACATTACTCTTTTTTTTTTGACAATAAGGTATGAGATCAATGATAAATATTGGGTGTAATCGACACTACAGTAGTGTCCCGTGGCATATTTATCCACTAATTACTATCACGTGGTGTTATCGTTCACTACTAAGTAAACAAGTCAGTAAATGAGTTTCACAAAAATTCGTAACAACTTGTAGTGCATAACTACATCCATAATAGATAGAGCAATACTATTTGGACATAATTTATGAACATAATTTGAGGACATAATGAGGTATCACCAATGATATGATAATGAATTCATTAATACTACAATGAGACCCATCATTAAATATATTTTCAATAATGCTAAACTGACCAAAATTTGGGACCAAATTTGGAGCCCACATGACATGACAATTGACTTGGTTTCTTTGATTGATGTCATGTCATTTGGGTCCCAATAAAAACTTCAAATAATCAACTGTCATGTCATTTGGTTTCTAAATTTGGTCCCAAATTTTGGTCAGTATAGCATTACTCATATATTTTACTATCATTTCATTGGGGACACACTGAGTTGTTCCCAAATTATGTCCTTCAATTATGTCTCAATAGTATTAGTGTAATAGAAAAGAATATTGCTACACTGACCAAATTTTGGGACACAATTTAGAGCCTAAATGACATGACAGTTGATTATTTGAAATTTTTATTGGGACCCAAATGATATAACACCAATCAAAAAAATTCAAATCAACTGTCATGTCATTTGAACTCCAAATTTGGTTCAAAAATTTGATCAGTCTAGCATTACTGAATAGAAAATGAGTTTTATTTTATCCACTTTTGTAATTTTTTTATTGAATTATTATACCACATTAACATTATTGATGTAGTGTAACCGTTACACCTAATATTTACTTAAAAAGAATATGCAATATTAAGGGCTCCTGGTTAATTTCCAATGCCATGTTTAACATCACTACTCTCATGTGAGAGAGTGTGTGTTTGTATGAGAGAGAGAGAGAGAGAGAGACTTACAACTATCTGGCCTTTGATCTCTTCAGCTGACAACACTGGTCTACCATCTATATCTTTGAGAGTAATCAGAACATCAAGCAAGTCTTCTTTTTCTTTCTTACAACCTTCCTTCCATTTCCCAATTCTTTGGTCAATTTCAGGATCATGATATTTTCTTACAGTCCCAAGAGCTTTCTTCATAATCTTCTCATGCCCATCTATGTCAAACACTCTTAAACATGGTAAATAATCAGAGATACAAAAAGAATAAAGGTACCCAAGAATGGTGAAAAGCCCGGCGACATGCTCTTCCTCTTCAACCCCTGGTCCTCCATCTTCCATTCCTTTTCCGAAAAACCTCTTTCCAAAGATCATTTTCCTTATCACATTACCACAGTAATGCTGAGTGGCAATTCTCACATTCACTACTCCGCCTTCCATGGTGGTTTTGCACTGGTTATACACGTAACGAACAAGGTGATCAGCTTCTTCGTCTCTTTTGCCTTGAAGCCACCGGTGTTTCGCCGGAGAAAGCACCTCAGAAGCGAGGATTCTCCTCATTTTTTTCCATTGTTCTCCAAAGGGAACAAGAATTGCTGCCAAGTAACCGTTGCTAGCAAGTTCAGCAGCCATGCAAATGGGTCTAGATGAGAAAATGGCATCTTGATTCTTCAGGAACTCTCGTCCCAATTCAGGACTAGTAACTGTGATAACATGAACGTTTCCTAGACGAATACAAGCTATTTCAGTGTTCATTTCATCCATAAGGTTGGTATCCATTGGGATATTGGTTTGTTTGAGAGCATTTCGGGGAGATTTCCAACTATCGGCCATGGTTTTGGGCCAGGAGGAAGTGGTAATTTGCTCTTGTTACCAATGGGTTTGGATTTGTTCTTGACAAAAAGAAAGAACAACAAAGCCGTGAGAAGAACAGTAGAGAAGGAAAAGCTCAAAAGAATTAATGGTAATTCAATTGAGACCATGTCTTGAGAGCCCTGAAATAGGGTTGAGGAGTTGAAGGAAGTGACTAAGGTGTTATTGTTGATCTTCATGATCTTTTGTGCTTTGTGTGATTGCCTGCTGGCTCAGAGAGGGGTGTTGTAATGGTTGCTTGTGTGCTTGCTGGTTCGTAGTATTGGCTATAGCCTTTTTATACTAGTTTGTGCATGAAAAGGACAGCGTGAATCAATAGTGAAACCTGAGATCCTCAAGTCACTTGTGAAACACATGATCCATCGAAGACGTGGCCAAATGACTCGACTGTTGACTTTCAACAGTTATGGTCGTTTAAAAATTGGATTGAAATTACACCCCATACACCATTTTATAGAAGTTAAATGCCATTGGACCTTTACATACGAAGTAATGATAATGCGACCTATAAGTTTAACATGATTTAATAATGTGCTATTTGATATAGTCCAATAATTGATGTAGGAATAGGTTAATTGTCGTGCTTTCAAAGCACAATCAAAAAAATAATAATAATAATTAAAGACAAAATGAGTTAGACTCAGAATTCCGTAAGACTAATGGTGTTTGATTCAAACCAAACAACGGTCAGAACTTATTATTTTGCCATGAACCCCTTCAACTTTAGGCTGAATTCCACCGTTTAAGTTCTCAAAACTGCATTTTAACCGTTTCAAGAAAGATTTCATAAATTAATAATAAATCATATTAGATTTTGAATTCAACGCAATTAGTTTTGTTAAGCTCTAGACGACACGTACTTTTATGTTAATACAAAAAATCACATATTTTTATTTTTTATAATTTTCATAATGTTAGCGATTTTGTTTTACGAGAATTATTATAGTTTTGACCATTCCTATTTATACTACTCATTTGTACTGCAAATTATTCATTCAATAAAATCATATTTTAGAGTTTTATCTATTATCTATGTGGATTCATAGTTTTCCTTTTGACCGGATACATAAGAAATTGTAATATTCTTTGTGCTCCCTATTTCTCTGTGTCAGTTGTTGTAATTATAATTGTCGGCATTCTTCATTCTAAGTATATTACTTGACACATTACTAGATTAGATATTTAAATCAAAAAAAAAATATTCTTAAAAAAAAAATACTAAATAGACTTAAAAATCTTACCAAAAATACTAATTTAATGATGATATGCTAGTTGATATGATTCATTTGCAAAATAACAATAATATTATTTAGATCTATTTTGTTGACCAAACTCAACACAATTATTTCAATATTACTAAGTCTCACATAATATTTGGATTTACTATCAATTTAATATGTGATTGATTAAGTCAATAAATTGGATTAATAAATTAAATTTAAGTAACATCATATTATTTTTTTTGGGTAAATAATAACATTATATTATTTGGTAAGGGAGTTGACACCATTCAATAGGATTTTTCTACTTGCAATTATTAGTATTTTTTATAGAGACTATACCACTCGACACATCATTATGTTAATTAATTAGATTAAAATTTTAAATTATATAAAAGTATTATTTATAATTAGAATTATTAAATTTTGTTAAGAGAATTATATCACTCGATACGTTGTTAAATTTAACCTATTGATCAGATTTTTAGGCTAATATTATTTATCAAATGAAATAAGTTTTACATAAAATTGGTCGTTCCAACTTCCGACAGCCTCGGGGATTATTGTAAACGGATTTGACGCATGTCGTAGGTCTGTTTTTTTTTTTTTTTGAAAAGTAGATTTGAGGCATGTTGTCGGTTAGAAGATGTGGGCTGAAATTATTTGGAGGCGTTTTCTGTTGAAAAGAATTCAAACAAAGACTGCCCCATTCTCACTAAATATCCAATGCAAATATCATGTTATTACTATTATCACGTAATTGTATTTTTTAATTACAAAATTATAAATGGGTAAATTTAATTTTGCTATTTTTCATAAATATCAATAACAACCACATTCAATCATCCAAGGATTAGTAAGGTTTACTTTATCTATTTTGTCCTTTTTTTATTTGAATAGTTATATTACGTGATGATAATAATATGGTGTCACTGTTATATTGAATATTTTATCCATTTTCAGGGGTTTTAAAAATTTATTATATTTAATCGGGTCTAATTATGATACTGAAATAATGATATTTTTCGGTGTTGTATTTCAAGACCCAATATGATTTGTGGCTAAAAAGAAAACTAAAAAGAGGCTTTTATTTTTAATATTGATATTTTTATTTAAGATTTATTCTTCTTCTTCTTCTTTTTTTTTGTTGGAGGAGTTGTCAATAATTTTAAAAGCGATGCATACCTAGTCTTTTATATCAATTGAATTGTTTTATTCTATTTGTAAAATTTTCTTTAAAAAGTTATGATTTCAAAAATAAATCTAAACCAATCACTAAAATAAACTGTCACGTTTTACAAAATATTTAAGAATAAGACGAACACAAACCATGAAAGGAGGGATTTGCGTTATTGGAGAGAGAGAGAGAGAGAAACTCTCTATCAAACCTTAATCCTAAATCTCAGATGTTTCAGAACATCTAGTGGAGAAAATAAAGTTGTACTTTTCAAGGAAAAATAATGAAGATGGTCATCACTTATGAATGAGGTGTATGACCAGTGCGTCGACTTAATCACTAATAATTTTTACATTCAAAAGTACCATGCACGAATTAGTTGGGTTCACTTATCCTATTTATTTATTATTAGTCGGTTATATTATGTGATGAGAGTGACATGATATAACCAGTACATTGAATATTTACTTGTAAAAGATAGAAATGTAATTGATGATTATTTTCGTATACGTTACCAACACTGGGGTTTTGTCCTTGAAAATTGATTATTGGTTCTGTTTCATTATATATATGAAAATAGATTTTATATGGGCCAACTTAAAATCTCTTCCATGGGATTCTAAATAATTTCGAATTTCTTCCTACCACACAAGGCAGATAATGTGAATTGAACCATAGTTTTCATATGGTTCAAATCAAATGGAATGTCCGAACAAAAAAAGGTTTACTTGCATGTCTATTTTCTTTAATTTCCCATTCATGTGTAAACGTTTTTTTTGAAGTATGTGGTGGTGGTGTAACCATATTAAACGATAAATTTTATGCCAAACTTTCACGCTAAGACCATTTTCAACGGGGCGGCTTAAGTCAATTTGAGATTAAAACGGAAATATTAAATAAATGTTTTTTTATTTTTAGTATTATTTTTAAAAAAAAATTAATTTAGTTTTAATTTTTTATGTGAGAGGGAGACAAAAAAATGATGTTTTAATATTGTCGAGAAAGAAATTTCAACTTTTTTTTTTATTTTTTATCACAGAGAGGGAGAGAGAATATTTGATTTCAACTTTTGTTTTTATTTTTTATTTTTTTATACAGTAGAGAAAGTGGGTGTGAGTAAATATGAGTTGACTTTTAAGTATTTTATTTTATTTTTTTAATTTCTAAATTTTTGATGTTATGGATTGGATTATAAACCCAAATTATTGTAATAAAAATTTTGATTGGATTTAATTTTTTGGGGGAGTTTTTGTAGGGCTTAAAATTTAATAGATTTAATTTTTTTTTTGTGGGTTAATGATATACCTAAAATTATGAGATTTTTTTAAAAATTTGGGGCGTAAAACCCATATTTTTGTTTTTAGGAAATTTGGAGGCCGGTTCCCCTATATGGAATTGTCTTGACTTAAATCCGTCAAGAAAACTTATTTGTTATGAAATCCGTTTTTTGTTAATTTTACCATACTATCCCTTCTCTTTAGAAGTAAAATAAAACTAAAAATTAAAAACTTTTAAATTTTAGGAGTTTGACTGACATTAAAATCTTTTCTCTTTTATATCTATCTATATCTATATATAGGTTAAGAGTTTATATATATATAATAACATTAAAAATAAAAATATTAACATTCAAATACAAAAAAAAGTTATCATTTGAACATAAAAAAATAATACATTTAAATACAAAAAAATAGTAACATTCAAACATAAAAAAATTGAAACATTCAGTATTAATATTTTTAAAAAATAACATTAGTAACATGTTCAACAAAAAATACTAACATGCTTAACAAAAATTGTAATATATTTAATAATAATTATTTCTCTCAAATTCAAACGCAAAAAATAGTACCATTCAAACACAAAAAAAATAGTAATATTCAAAAAAAAAATAATAACATTGAATATTAATATTTAGGATAATAATATTAGTAACATACTTAACAAAAAAAGTAACATGCTCAAAATAATAGTAACATAATAAAAAAAATAGTAATATGAAACATTCAATTTAACAAATTAACCCCTACAAAAAATACCACAAATTACAAAAATAAAAAATTAACAAGGACTAGATATTCTTATCCGTTACCCACAA